ATTGTACTAATCTAACAAATTTACGTTTTGCTTCACCACAGTCCCACGGATCGCAGGATTTGTACCCGACGATGCTTAAGAACCAGTTCGAGTTTTCGGCCGATGAAGTCACTGTAACGCAGGTGGTCGCTAACCTCGGCGCTATCACCGGCGGCACACTGGTTGGATACTACTCGCAGATTTTCGGCCGTCGTCTGAGTATTATCACAATGGCATTCGTCGGCGCAGCGCTGCTGTACCCGTACAGCTACACGGACAACACTAAGGTCATGATCGCTGCCTTCTTCGAGCAGTTCTGCGTACAGGGCGCGTGGGGCGTCGTGCCGATCCACCTCATGGAGCTATCACCTCCGTCGTACAGCACGCTTATTGTCGGAACCTCGTACCAGTTGGGTAACCTGATTTCATCGGCATCGTCGACCATCGAGGCTCGTCTTGGCGAGAACTATCCACTGCCGCCGACTGATGAGGGCGTAAGCCGCTACGAGTACGGAAAGGTCATCTGCATCTTCATGGCCGTGGTGTACGCGTACTTGGTGTTGCTTACATTCCTTGGGCCCGAGGCTCGTGGCAAGGAATTCGATGTCGCTCACGATCGCGACCTGGAAGAGGCCGCTCAGATGAACCAGGAGGATCTTGACAAGATCCTACACAATGACGCGGAGCACGACAAGACTACCAAGCAAGGCTAAGCTGGCTATAAAGGTGCATAATGGATCGACGCGTTCGTCAGCGTTCTCCGGTGCTCGAGTTTGGCAATCACCGTACTGTTACGCAGCTAAATGTAGTTAATCTTGCAATTTGACGTACAAATCTCTTTTTTTTATTGCGTGTTTCAATGGACATGACAAATTGCAGTCAGGGATAGTGGTGTTGCATAAATTGAAACAACTTTTTAATATAAAAATAGAAATGGAGCGACTCCGCAGCCGTAGACTTGCTTTGATTTCAAACTATTTGACTTAGAGTTTGAAAGGGGGTGGTCCGAGCCCTTTTCCAGATTTATTCTTTGAACTGGAGAAAGAACAAACTATTACTTAAGTATAGGATCCCAACTTGCTGCGGGAATCGTTCCAATGTTTTATTGTAAAAATAGCAGTAGCATAAAGTGTTATGTACAATTACAAAATTCACAGATTGATTCTGCCATGCAAAACTCTTGGATTATTCAAGCGTGCTAGCGATATTACTAGTCGAGAGAAGAGGAATGATTTCGAAGTCAAATTGATGATGAAATGATTGCGGAGTGAAGCACCAAAGCGGAGAAATGCATTTTTGTATCTTACCGGGAGGGATACGGAGTATCCTGTAGGGCATCACAAGCATTACACCGCTCCAAAATGTACACTGACAGGTAACATTAGGAGACCTGCAAGAAACCTTCAGCCCACCGCCGCGTTAGACGACCTTCGTTCAACTTGCTATGCGTAGGAGCACACGCTGCTGACAACAGGACATTGATACAAGAATATTGCATGTTCCAGGATAGCAATTAATTAATCCTAAACATTGAGTAAAAGCTACCTTCTTTTCGTTTGTTTTTGGTATTCTACCCGCAACGTACGGATACTGTATGCATTTACCTAAGGAGTTGGTTGTATGTTGAGCGCCAAGAGCACAGACATGCCAAGAAGCAACTAGGCCAACAACTGGGCCAGGTTTTCTTGGCATAAGTTGTGGCGGGTTTCCTTCTATACCAGCTTCACTCACGGATACAGTCACTGCGTGCTGCC